GAATCACTTGAACCTGGGAGGTGGATGTTGCAGTGAGCCGAGACTGCACCATTGCACTCCAGCCTGGGCAACAAGAGTGAAACTCCATCTCAAAAAAATAAAAAGGAAAGAAAGAAAGAAAAGACACTGTTTAGCCCCTCCCACTAACACACACACACATGCACGCGCGCACACACACACACACACACACACACACGGCAGTAAGCCAAACTGTCCCAGACAGGAAGCCAGCATTGGGGTTCTACCTCAGGCTTCAGCCTTCCATCTGAATCTCCCATATCCTTTCCTTACAAGGTGCTGACCTACCCTCTCAGCAGCACTTGGCATACCCTTGAGTGCAGTCTGTTTCTCCCATCTCTTCTTGGAGGTGCCCAAATCCAGTTCCCAGGCTGATCCAGGATGCTTTCACAGTAGTCTCTTGGCATGCTTCTGGTCAGCCTGTGGTCCACTTTGACCGTTGAGTCTTTTTCTCTGCACTTGGTGTTTAGCTTATTCTTTCCATGCCTACCTATGTGGCAGTGGTTTTTAGTCCTAAAGCAAACCCCGAAGGAGTAGAGGACTGAACTGAAAATGTGAAGCATTTACTACTACAGGGGGCACTCTCTGATGAATACTCTTACAATGTTTCATATTAGAATAATAGCTCTTAACTTTGCAAAGTGGATATTATTATCTGCCTTTTACAAATGATGAAACTGAAGGCAAGAGAGGTGGTGTCGTTGTGTGTCATTCATCTAGCAAGAAGCAAGGTCATGCTTTGAACCCATAACTGACTCCAGAACACATTATCTTTCACCCTGTTGGCCTCCATTAGTCAAAGAATACAGTCCCTGGTGAGCTTAGATCCAGGTCTAACTGGTTCCAAGATCAGCACCCCAACCTTGGAGATGTGGCGCTTACCCACTGACTTGATCATTTTCCTGTTGAATTTCAACAGATTTCAATAGGTCCATTTCCCTAATTGGTCAAGGTCATCTTGAGCTTTATTCCTGTCTCCTAGAGGATTAACACTGCCACAAATTTAGTATCCTTTGCAAATTTAGTGAGCATATTTTTGATTCCACCATGCAGTTTATCTCTAACCACCAGGCCAGATGGAGTTTCAGGACTGATCCCCTGGACTTTGCTTCTAGGGAGGGCTGCACCTTGCATGACTGTTGTCCCCCTAGTAGATTTGGTCTTCCATCCTTTCATGACTCTGGACTTTATTCTAGCTGATTGCCCAGCCTTGAGCTTTTCTGAACATGTTGAACATAAGGGCACCTCTCTGCTCTTTGCATTCATATCTCTGGCTGCCTGTCATTCATTCTTTCAGTAAACATTTACTTGTCTCCATACTGACCAGCTGCTCTGCATCCAACAGGGGAGGATGAACCACAGGATAAATAAATTTCATGGCCGGGCACGGTGGCTCACACCTGTAATCCCAGCACTTTGGGAGGCCGAGGCTGGCGGATCACCTGAGGTTAGGAGTTCGAGATCAGCCTGCCCAACATGGCAAAACCCCGTCGGTACTACGAATACAAAAAATTAGCTGAGAGTGGTGGTGGTCGCCTATAATCCCAGCTACTTGGGAGGCTGAGGCAGGAGAATTACTTGAACACGGGAGGCGGAGGTTGCAGTGAGCTGAGATCATGCCACTGCACTCCAGCCTGGGCGACAAAAGCGAAACTCCATCTCAAAAAAATAAATTAACAAATAAATTTCATAATACCAGGCAATAGAAAGGGGCTTTGGTGAACATAGAAAGAGGATTAGGAGGTCATGCCAGGGAACCAAGGAGGGAGTTTTGTCCTCAAATGCAAGTGTGCAAGAAATAGCAGAAAGCAGGCATGGTGGCTCACACCTATAACCCCAAAACTTTGGAAAGCCAAGATGGGAGGATCCATCAAGCCCAGGAGTTTGAGACCAGAGCAGGCAACATGGTTAGACCCTGTATCTACAAAAAGTGAACACAATTTAGCCAGGCATGGTGGCACGTACCTGTAGTCCCAACTACTCAGGAGGCTGAGGTGGGAGGATCGCTTAAGCCTCGGAGGTCAAGGCCGCAGTGAGCTGAGATCACACCACTGCAGTTCACCCTCAGCGACAGAGTGAGACCTCGTCTAAAAAAAAAAAAAGAAAAAGAAAGAGAAAAAAATAGCAGATATCTCTTTTCTTTTTTTTCTTTTCTTACTTTTCTTTTCTTTTTTCTTTTCTTTTCTTTTTTGAGACAGTCTCTGTTGCCCAGGCTGGAGTGCAGTGGTACGATCTTGGCTCACTACAACCTCTGCCTCCTGGGATCAAGTGATTCTCGTGCCTCAGCCTCCAGAGCAGCTGGGATTACAGGCACACACCACCACGCCTGGCTATTTTTTGTATTTTTAGTGGAGACGGGGTTCCATCATGCTGGCCAGGCTGGTCTCGAACGTCTGGCCTCAAGGGATCCACCCACCTCAGCCTCCCAAAGTGCTGGGATTACAGGCGTGAGTCACCACATCTGGCTAAGATATCTGTTTTCTTTACATCAATTCACCTCTTTCATCCCACTGGATTGGTGGGACGTTTGACCTCAGTCATTTTCACCACTTCCCACCCTCACCCCACTCAAGGTGCACAGGGCTCTCAGGGTCTGACTTGGCACCAAAGCATGTGGCCAGTGAGTTATCTCTTGTCATTGCTCACCAGTCCCTGTGTGTCCCTGGCCAGACCCCTGGTCAGGGAAAACCCTGAATCCAGGCTTAGGACTTCACATAGCATTTTCTGAGCTATGGGCAGAGGAGAGGTTTCTGAGTAAGGAGGATGTCATGACCTTTGCAGATGATGAAATAGCAGCAGAGCAGAATATGGTTTGTGGAGGGGAGAGGGGATGCGAGTGCTTGCGGGGTAAAAGAGAAAGATTCTTGACTGCTCTTTTGCCTAATTGATCTTAAAACTTGGTTTTGCTACTTTTGATTCATCCTCCTAAACGTAATGGCCCTGAATCAGGCTCTGGGCTGGTTCTGTTGGGAATGGAGGGTTGAATTGCACCTGGTCAAAGTTCTCAAAGTCCCCCAGCCTCACCCCACCAGCCGTGGTGGGCCTGACCTTGTCCATGGGGTGTGTTGTTGTTACTTTGGAGTTGAAAGCTCCAGGCAGCATCCAGTCGTCACCTCTGCTGCTCTCTGGTCTCATGTCCTGTCCATAAGGGCTGTTGGCTGGCCTTTGGTCAAACATCTTGTCCCGCCCAGCCTGAAGGACTGTTTTTAAATGGGTAGATTCTCAATGGTTGAAGCTTTTCACCTACTAGGTTCTTCCTCTTACCCAGGAGCCAGCATCAGAACCTCTTACCTAGAGTTAGTTGTGGTTTTTCTTCACCAGTGGTTTCTGGCCCCACTGACCTTTGGTTTCCCCCCTTCATTATTTCCCAGTTGTTTATTAGCTGATGTGCATAAGCGTTTGGAAGCTACAAACCCTCCTTCATGATTGTGGGACTTAGTCCTCATCACAATGAGGGCAGGTATTCATGGAGCCCATTTTACTGATGAGGAAACTGAGCCCGAGAGAGGTTAAGTTGTCTGCCTAAGGTTATGCAGTCCATAAGTAGCACTGCTAGGTCAGGTTTAAGCCTGGGCCCTGTTAGTCTAGACCCCAAATTGTGACCGCTGGGCCTCTGGGTCCCAACTCTCTCCTGGTTGGATCAAGGAACAACAGGTTGGGAAGGATCAATATCTGCCCACCACTGCCTCTTCTGGGGGCTCTGGAGTGGAGAAGCCTGAAGCCCTGGCTTCAGCACACCTCATACTCCCACTGTGAGCCCAAGGGACCTAGCGTAAAGCTCAACCACCTGCCCTAAAGAATGTGAAACACAGCTGACATTTGTGCAGCACTACAGGTGGTGTGCAGAGCACCTCCCACGCTCATGATGTTTCTAATCCTCCCAAACCCTCCCGAAACCAGAAAGGGGTGAAGAGCTGCCACTATCTACTGACATCGAGCACCTCACGGGTAACAGTGTCTCAGGACTTTATGCCTATTTGAGTCCAGGAGAATAATAATCATCACAGTATTACCAGTAGTACTAGTAATCATCATCATCATCAGTAGTTAACAAGTACTGCCTGCATGCTACACTCCCCAGCACCGGGCTTATTTAATCACCACAATGGCCCTTCGAGGTAGATACCATTATCATCTCCATTTTATGGATATGGAAACCCAGGCTCAGAAAGGTTACTTGCCCAAAGCCCCACAGCTACTAAATAGCAGAGCTGAGATTCAAACCCAGATTAGTCTTCTTTCAAACTTGTGATTGTATCCACTATGCCGAATTCTGTGGGAAAGTTCTGGCTGGCCAATCACTGGGGCCAGGATTGGGTGCACTGGGGGCCTCAGCAGCACCAGCTGATGCCCCCACACAGCCTCACAGCTGCATCCACTCCCCCAGGGATGCTCTAAAGCTGGGCTCAAGCAAGCCATGGCCAGAGGTCCTAAAGATGCTGACTGGGGAGTCTGAGGTGTGTATAAAGGCCCTCATGACCTACTTCATACCCCTACTGAACTGGCTGGTGACTGACAACATGCAGCAAGGGGACATCCTAGGCTGGCCAGACTTCAGCTGTTCCTTTGAAGGTTTGATAATCTGACCCTGGTTCCAGCTCTGGGCTAGCCCCAGGCTCCACCTTACCCTGCTCTATCCTAGTACCTACCCCTACCCAGCCTTAACCCCTGGCTCATTCATGACCTGGCTTGAACCAGCACAGCACTGCTGCTGTGGGACCCTGTCTGTACCAGGCCTGATGCAGCTTCAGCCAAGACCACCGCCCACGCCCCAGCCCCTGGCTCAGTTGCTTCCTTGCACACTGTCCAGCTAGGCCGCCAGGCTGACATCTGAGCAAAGGGTCAGCATCTTGCCTCTGGTCCCTCGCATGCAGGGGCATGTAGTCCAATCAGATCTCCTTTGACAGCCACAGGAGATCCCAGGGGTCCCTCTCCAGTTCCACCTGCCCTATGATACTCCCATGTCTTTCACAGAAAAAGACACAGACAAAGTGACATTCCTGAATCTGAAGCTGGACCCCAACCAGGCTAAATTTGGGTACTGGGTGCTGCTGGCCCTGGGCTTTGTCATGTCTCTGGTGGTGCTGGGGCTGGCCTGCAGGCTGCACTCCCTGGAAAAACAGTCACTGACCCAAGACAATGAGATATTCAGCCCACTGCCCAATGCCTACTTCCTGGGCAGAGCCATGGAACCTGCCAGACTGTTAAAAGACAGTGGATGCTGCTGGGCCCGTGCCTTGTCCTGATGCTGTGCTCAATCAGCCTGGCCATCTGGATTTTCACAGAGTAAAGCAGGAAGCCTCTGTGGGTAAGAGCTGAATGGTGGAGCTGGGACTAGACACCAGTGAGACTGGTGAGGCTGGGGGGCAGGAGGAGGGAGGCTGAGCCAGAGAGTTGGGGGGAAGAGGAAGGGACAGCCTACATGCATAGTGCCCAATTATAGCTGGGTTCAGCTGTGGCAGATCTGGGTACATGTGACATTGTAATTGTGTATTTGCAAACTCATGTATGTGAGGCCGTGTGCACAAAAAACTGGCTCTATTTGATTCTATGTGTGTCCTGGGTTTCAGGCCAACCTCCTTCCCCTGGTGGCTCAGGACCTAAAGTTTTATTGACTCAATGGCTGTGTCCCTGCAAACCAGCCCCCACCCCAAGTCATGCCCAGAATTGGTTCTGCACACAGCCTTGTTTTCTTCAGTAGCCCAGTTATGGGGCTGCAGTGCCCAAGGAATCTTTGCTCTGGTTAGAAAAATGACTCTGCTTTAGTCCACTTCTGCTCTGGTTAGAAAAGGGACTCTGCTTCAGTCCACAGTACATAAAATGTACTCAAGTAGAACAGGACATTCCTTTACGAATCACCAGTGCCCAGGTTATGAGCACTGTGCTTTTATACCAACCAGCACATCTTTCTGCTAATCCTTGGGCCAGCCCTGCATTGGGCTACATAATCCAGCCCCCAAAAGCTCTTTGTTGACCAGTCGAGATGCAAGTAGCCTCACAAACTGCCCCATGGCTCTCCCTGCCCCAGCCTAAGCCCTTCCAAATGGAGACAGTGGGTTGCTGGGCACTGAGCCAGGCTTGATTAATGATTGACTTCTTTAATATTTAAACAAAGCTCATCTCAGCCACTCTGCTCTGGAGATGGCCTTGTTCAACGCACACACACACCTGCTGCCTGGCCCGTTGCCCTGGGGAGCGAGCATAGGACAAACAGCACCTTTTCAGGCTCAATGGGGGATGGGGAGGACAGGAAGGAGAGAACTGTAGGAGAATATTTGGGAAATTAGTGTTCTAGAAACAAGACTGGGGAAAGAATGGGAAGGCCTCTGCCCCTGCCTTTCCTAGTTCATTATCCTCAGCTTGGGTCTGCCTGCCACGAGGATGCTACATCCAATATTGGGGATTCAAAGTGTCTGGATGAAGGTTCCATGGACTCCTGGGGAGGCTGGAAGTCAGTGTGTGTCAGAGAATAGGGAAGACTTGAGGGGAAAGAGCATGACAGCCAGTAACTACAGAGAAGGGGTATCCTGGCTGCAACTGAGCTGGTGGGAGGGTGGCCAAAAGAGGAGACCAGGTCTCTCTGAATTAAGAATCTGAGCCCTGAAGTCAGGTGTTCAGGGGACAGAGATACTAGGCTGAGATCTCCATGGACCCTACCTCTGTCCAGGTTTCGAAAGGTCTTCCTGAGATCTGGCTGAGCCCAAGCACTTGCTCCAGCCCCAGGCTCTACAGCATCCTCGTTTGATGACTCTGTCCCTGCTCTTACTTTTCTGTGCCATAATGTCCTTATTTGTCCCTATTACTATCAGCTCTATAAGAGCTGAATGCACATCAGGAGTGTGCTGACTAGTAACAACTCTAGTCAGCACAGGCCATGGTGAACAAAGGGACTTGGAAATTGATGGAATGAGTAAGTGAATGAATGAATGAATGAATGAATGAATGAATGTCCCACTGCCCAAGTCCCTCCTCAGAGCTCAGCACCCCATGCACTGAGCTCATGAGAAATAGCCCCTTCTTTTCCTCCACAGCCAGCCTGTCCAACAGAGGGGCAGCCAGGACATCTCTGCCCCCTTCTCATCCGCCAGCCACAGTGGCCAAAGAGGCCACCACTAGGCACTGTGGCTCTGCATGACAAAGGCACATACATCCCAGGACTCCAAGCCTGTCACCCGGACTCCAGCAAAAACCTCGCTGAGCCTCATTGTCTATCCTCCCTCCCCCACCCACCATTGTAGAGTTTATGTCACCAGAATATTTCTTTCATGTCTAATTGCTTAAGAACTTGGTTTTTCATCAATTAAATCCAGATGTTCAAAATGGCATCTGAGGGTCTTTATTAATTACCTCTTTCCTCCAAACTCACCTCTCCCATGCCCCCTTGTTCCCCTCACCCCAGCCTCTCTGCACTGACATCACCTTTGGCCTTTGCCTAAGGTGCACGCCCCATTTGAATGCTTGTCCTCCAAGATGAGGCTCAAAATTGCTCACCAAACCCTCTGCAGCACTACAAGCCCACCCAGGTGCTCAGCTTCTCCCCTTCCTCTCCAGGAAGCCTCTTTCAATAAACCTCATCCCACCCCCATCTGCTTTTTCTAGTGTGTTCATTTTCAATCAGTACTCAGTACTCAGACACTTTTATCAGTGATCACTTGCTAATAGGTGGTTTTAAATCTGTTCTCCTGGCCTGGCGCGGTGGCTCAAGCCTGTAATCCCAGCACTTTGGGAGGCCGAGACGGGCGGATCACGAGGTCAGGAGATCGAGACCATCCTGGCTGACACGGTGAAACCCCGTCTCTACTAAAAAATACAAAAAAACTAGCCGGGCGAGGTGGCGGGCGCCTGTAGTCACAGCTACTCGGGAGGCTGAGGCAGGAGAATGGCGTGAACCCGGGAGGCGGAGCTTGCAGTGAGCCAAGATCACGCCACTGCACTCCAGCCTGGGCGGCAGAGCGAGACTCTGTCTCAAAAAAAAAAAAAAAAAAAAAATCTGTTCTCCTTCCAAGATGTACCTGTATGCTAAGAGCTCTCAGGCCTCTGAAGAAGGCACCTTATTGCATACTTCCTTCTCTCTTTCTTTCTTTTCTTTTCTTTTTTTTTTCTTTTTCTTTCTTTCTTTTTTTTTTTTTTAGATGGAGTCTTGCTCTGTCTACCAGGCTGGAGTGCAGTGGTGCGATCTCGGCTCACTGCAACCTCCACCTCCCAGGTACAAGTGATTCTCCCACCTCAGCCTCCCGAGTAGCTGGGATTACAGGATGGCACGACCACATTCAGATAATTTTTGTATTTTCAGTAGACAGGCTTTGCCATGTTGACCAGGCTGGTCTCAAACTCCTGACCTCAGGTAATCCTCCCATCTCTACCTCCCAAGGTTCTGGGATTACAGGCATGAGCCACTGCACCTGGCCTTTATTGCATATTTCTTGCACACCTTCATGTGTACTCCTATCCCCTCCTCCCAGGACCAGGCCCTGGCTGGGCTTGGCAACAGGAGCTCTGCATGGGACCTAGGTCTCAGCTGAGCTGGAGGTCACTTGCTGTAAGAGCAGGCCAGAGGCCTAATGGTATCATTGCCAGGGTCGGACCCAGTGGACAGACCCGGAAGAAAGCCTTCAGCCAAAGACCACCTGAGGCCCCTAACAACCCTTTCTGTAGCCCCCCTCCTGCCTGGGAGATTTCCTGCACTGGGAAGGGAGACTCCCTTTGGTACTGGGAGGGGATCCAAGAGGCGCTGAGGCTATTGGCCCTTGCGACACGAACAGAAGCAGCTCCCCAGAGAACACCTGCCCTATTCCAGGGCCGGGACCCCAGCCCTGCCCCGCCCTGTCCCGTAGGATGCAAGGCCCCGCCCCAGCTCCGTCGGGTCCCAGAGAAACTGCCCCGCCCAGCGGCCCCCTCTCCGCCGCCGGCGCGCGGCTTCTTTCAGCACCAAGGCGAGGACAGCTCCCGGGCCGTCTCAGAGGAGAGGAGGCGAGGAGGGCGCGGGCCAGGGAGGCGAGCGGAGGGCAGGAGAGCGCAGGAAAGGAAAGGAGAGGTGGGGTAGGAGTGGGGAGGGAAGGGCAGGGGAGGGCACACGCAGGCTGGCGGGCGGGGCGTGGAGCCCGGGGGCGACGCCCACCCGAGCCGGACGCTGCTGAGCCCGAGGACAGACAGAGACGCCGGGAGCCGGGGACGCCTGTGGCTCCCGGCAGGGGCCGCCGCCGAAAGATGCCGGTCCGCAGGGGCCACGTCGCTCCCCAGAACACTTACCTGGACACCATCATCCGCAAGTTCGAGGGCCAAAGTGAGTGTGTGTATGTTGGGGCGGGGGGACGATCTGGAGTCCTGGTTCCGTGAAAGCGGGGGCCGGACCCCTTTACTAACTTCTAACCGGGCAAGGTGGTGAGTGCCGGGTACTGAATGCAAAATCCTTCCTTTGATGTCCCTAACACCTTCTCCTCCAGCGGGACCCGCTCGCCTTAAATGCTGTCCTCTTTTCTGGAACACAAGGAGCAGGGTGCAGCCCTTCCCTCCCCACCCCCAGCTGTTTCCTTGGTGCCCCAAGTCCGAACCTCCCCTTCCAGCCACTGCCCGCCCCCGCCCCCGCGTCCTCCAGAGGCTTTCCTGAGTCCTTCCTTTCCTTCCTTTTCATATCCTGGCGCTGGTCTTCCCAGGAGCTTTCCCAGGCCAGACCCCCATCTGGTCACATGCCTGCCTCCCTTTCTGACACTTTTCCTGTTTCCAGGAGGCCTTGGGCCTTCCTTCCACCTCATGACCCTCACTGCCCTAGTCTTCCCACAATCCCCAGGCCTGACTCCCTCCCTCGTTCTGGTCACTGCCCTGCTCCTCTGCCTAAATTCCCCTTACTGCCCCCAAGAGTCCTTATGATCTTTCCCTCCCTGCCTCCGGATCCTGGCTCCCATGGACTTTTTGCCTCCCACCTCCCACCCCAGGTCGGAAGTTCCTGATCGCCAATGCTCAGATGGAGAACTGCGCCATCATTTACTGCAACGATGGCTTCTGTGAACTCTTTGGCTACTCCCGAGTGGAGGTGATGCAGCAACCCTGCACCTGCGACTTCCTCACAGGCCCCAACACACCAAGCAGCGCTGTGTCTCGCCTAGCGCAGGCCCTGCTGGGGGCTGAGGAGTGCAAGGTGGACATCCTCTACTACCGCAAGGATGGTGAGGCACACTCAGGCCAGAGGCTTTGCAGGGCAGGCTTGGCCCTCTGTCTTGTCCAGCCAGGGTGGCCTTGGAGAAGGCACTGACCCAGGATCCAAAGGGCCTGCACAAACCCTGTTTCTTGTAGGGGCCTTGGTTCCTCCACAGGCATTGGATATGACGCCTTCTGAGGTCCTTTGCAGGAGCTAGGGATCAGGCTGGGCCACCCACTGGTCCTGGCCTGGGGCAGGGCCTCCCACTCTGCCATCCCTCCCTTGTGTCCCTGGTTTCCTGGCTCTCCACTCTGTCACTGTCAGCCCCAGCTGTCAGGCAGCTGGGATGGAAATTAACCTTCCCTCCTCTCCGTCTGCTCCAGGGATTAGAGGAGTCACCACCTCAAGGCCTCTGTGGCCAGGCAAGGCATGGTGGCTTTTGGCTGGAAAAGTGGGGTGGGCCTGCCTCATCCAGTCTTAGCTCTTTGGGGAGACAGGGTCTGGAGTTTTCCCTGACCAGGAGGCTCATTCAGATGGCGTTTGGGTTGTTACTGCCAGCTGGAGCATACTGCAAGCAGAACAGAAGCATAGGTCAGGGACTGAAGACAGAGCTCAGCAGCCCTTGGAAATCCTCCCCCACTCCCCAGGACCGCAGGGTCCTCACTGGACCTGGCAGGATGGGTGGGAATGAGGAAAAGAGCCTGAATGTCCTTGGAAATCTCTTGAATCAATGGCCCCCAACCTGGTTCTGCATCAGAATTACCCAGAGCATGTTTCCCAAAACATGCTTTCTCTAGAGAGAGGCTGACTCAGAAGGTGTGAGATGAGGCCAAGCGGGTATATTCGGAAATATCTCCCTGGTGGTTCTGATGTCCTGCCTACTTTAGGAACCACTGGCTTAGGTAAATCCCTTCATTTCATAGATGTGGAAGGGATTTGCCCAAAATCCCACTGATAGAGTCCAACCTGGGACTGGAACCCAAGTCTCTGGATTCCTCCCTCAGAGATTTCTTTTGAGTAACCCCAAGAGGAAAGAAAGGACCCCAGGTGTCTTTGTGTTTAGAGGCAGGATTTCTGGGGAAGGAAGTGCTCAGGAGAGAGAAGTCCCCAGGGAAGGCAGGCATGAGGCCACCTGAGTGCAGATAAAGAATGGATGTCTCTGGATCGGGACTGAGGAGTGCTGAGAGCCCAGGTTTCAGGAGCCTGGAGTGTGTGGAACATGAGCATGTGTGTGCTTGCATGTGTGTGCCTCTGTGTGTGTGTGTGTGCTTACAAGTGCATACGTGTGTGTGTGTGTGTGTGTGTGTGTGTGTGTGTTTGCAGGCTTCTCAGAGTTACCGCTTCTCGGGTAGGTCCTGGTTGTTCCTGCTGCTGCCACTTGAGTAAGTGGCAGTGGGAAGTACAGCATGCAGGGGCAGCCGGGGGGGACTGGGAAGAATCTAGCTTAGTGTGGCAGCACTCACAGGGTTAATGAAGTCAGAATATTTTTAAAAGCTGTGACCTCACCTCCTCACATCATTGCAGAGAGGAGGTGGCAGTCAGGGGAGTGAGAAGGGTCCTGGGGAACAGGATGGGACAGCAGGAAATGGGGGGTGAGGTACAGCAGGTCCTTACTTTTCCTGTCCTTGACACTAGAGCTATACCTGATCCCAGACTCCAAGGGATGTCAGGTGATGGCTCTTGGGGTCCCCTCAGCACCCTGCAGGTGTCTGGACAGAGGGCAGAAGTCAAAGCCTGGCCTTGGCCCCCTGAGATCAGGACTCAGATCAGAATCCTGTGGGAGTCCTCAGGTCTCAGAAGGGAACCTAGGAACCTTGTCTTGGGGGCAGACCCTCAGTGAAAATGGGAAATTACCCACATACCTTGTGCCCCATAAGTCCCAATCTACTCCCATCCCACCTTCGGCCCTTCCCTATCTTATTGCCCAAGGCTTTGATTACCTGAACCTTCCTGAAATTGTCCTGAAGCCCAGAAAAGTGAGCTTCCCAGCCTGCATTACACCAAGGGAAGGATGTTGTGCTCAGATAACTGATGTTCACCTTAAGGTCCACTCTGACCACAGACCGCATATAATCCTTTTTATTTATTTATTTATTTATTTTAAACAGGGTCTTGCTCTGTTACCCAGCCTGGCAAGAACATAGCTCACTGCAGCCTCCCATCTCAGTCTCCCGAGTAGCTGAGTAGC